CGACGAGAGCGTTGAAGATGCAGAGGAGGCCGATATCCGCATGAAGGCAGAGCTCATCGCGAGAAACGACAGCTAATCCGCAACGAGTCCAAGATGCGCAAATCGCTCAAGAACCGCGCGTTAATCCCGCGCAGCGCAAGGCGCGCAAACTGTCTGAGATGCAATCACATCTAGAATCGATCGGGTACGATGCAACATCTGCAACCAGAAGTGCCCAGGGACAGACCCCATCTCAGGCACAGTCGCGTGGCCGGAGTGCTACACGAAACGAGAATACAGATACTGCAGATGCCATGGATATTGATGGTGATGGCAACAATGCACGCCAGGAGCTGCTCCAGCGCGCCAAGAGCCGGGCTCGCAGCCAGGTACCAGCCAACCGACGCGTTGACGGCATAACGGACATGAAGACTCGAAGCAAGGCGGATAAGATGGCCAAGCTAGCGCAGATAAAGATGAATCGGATGGCGAGACAGGGTGAGGCAGATCGACATACAACGGCTTCTTTGCCGAAACATTTGGTGAGTATTTTTACCCTTTCCCCTGGCTTCTTAATATATGGGAAACATATATGCTAACTGTTTATTTTTTTCCCCCTTTTGTAGTTCTCTGGGAAACGTGGCATGGGCAAGACTCAACGACGCTGAGTTTCTGGACTCTGGCGTTCAACGATGGCATGAAGGCCCGGTCTGGGAAATGGAGTTTACGGCTAATTTTTTTTATTTTTTATTTTATTTTTTATTTTTTTAATTTTCTATGTAGCCTTTCTGTTATTCAACTGTTGCCAGTTTATATCCAGGATTAGAGACCTTGCATATAATGTCCACAGCTATTATAGAGTGATTGGGGTTGAGGTACGGAGTCCAGAGTTGGGAAGTCGTTGATATCATGTGACCTGCAGCCGCGACGCCAAGCCATCTCCGCTTCCACAGCCGCAGCCTGCCGTCATCAAAATCCTTTCTCCTCTCTAGCTCTCTCACAACACACTCTTACACAGTATAACCTCCTCACTACTCATCTTCCTAATATCTCCATCCCTTATTATTAGCCACTATCGTAGACATCATACCCAACCCTCGTTCACTGATATTTGATATTCGAGATACCCCAGCATCTGCTGCTCCACTGCCCTCAGACCTTCCCCGTCATCCTTCGCCCACACCCTCTCCTTCTCCCTCTCTCCACACCTCCGATTCTATTCTTCTCCATTATCCATCCTACAGCTACCGTCATGCGTTTAACAACCACCCCATTATTCGTCCTCCTCTGGTCTTCTCTGGCCGTAGGGGCCCCGCCGTCCCTGCCATGGGTCGCAAACAATCAGGTCCCAATCAGCTTGGCAGGCAACGAATTGCGCGTCCCAGGAGATAACCCGTTGAACTTCTGCTTCCCGCCTGAAAACGATATCTTGACTATCAACTGGGTTGATTTGTCCCCAAATCCTCCTGTGCCGTATGTTATTCACCCGGTATCCTGAATCTGCAGAATATAAGATCTGTATGCCCCGCCTCTTGTTTACGAGATAATTGCTAACACTTTCCATTATTTTACTCCAGTGGCCAAACGCTCACCATTACCGCTTCTGGTACCTTCCACAAGCAGGTTGATGAGGGCTCGAAGGTTCAAATACAGGTGAAATACGGTCTAATTCGGCTGGTCAACCAAGAGGCCGATCTGTGCGATGAGATCAAAAATGTGGATTTGGAATGCCCGCTCGAGAAGGGAAATACGTCTTTTACGAAGAAGGTCGACTTGCCTAAGGAGATCCCACCTGTAAGTAAAATCTTAGTCCTTCACAATGCAACTGTGAGATATCGTGATGCCAACGGCTTTTGAAAATACACAGGGAAGGTACACTGTCCTCGCCGATGTGTACACCAATAAGAAGGAGCGGATAACATGCCTCCAGGCCGAAGTAACTTTCAGCTTATAAACAAACGGCGCGCCATTACCCTAGTCGGCACGCTTGTTTAGTCGTATCTGCTTCTTGCACACGGAGCTTCCCTCAGCATCCCTCACAACTACCCAAACCAATGCTCGAAATGCCTTCGTCCCTCCAAGGCGCAACTCCTCCTAGGTCCTTCTTACCTACAACACCCGCAAGTGCTATCAAGTTCCCGAGCCCACGATTCGACTACTCTCATTACTCCTTCGCCTACTTCCAGATGCTCTACTTTGCCATGGCGGTTCTTTTCTTTTTGCCCTCACTAACCATGTACTGTCTCACGCTCCCACAATGACTCTTTCATGAAACTCTTTATACAGAATCTTTTAAATGCTCCCTATACTGGTTCTCCGGCCCTTCTCTCCTTTCTCTCTGTAGAGAATTATTGGGAATGCGCCGATCCGTCCTCACGACTCGATGATGAAAGTATCCTCGACACCCAACTGTCTCTTGTATAACCTTTCGACGAGTAGAATAATTCCTGACCTCGTCTTAGCTCTCCAATTAATCCCTGGTATTGACTCGTTTCCTCGTTCGGGTTATTAGCGTCTTCAATTGCTTCTAGGGCCTGCTCCTTCCTTTCCGTTGCATCTTTATTGTCCCATCCTCGCGGTTATAATGGTTCGTTTTCTCCGCATCCCTTGCATTTTGATTACTACTTGTCATCATCGTTTTCCCGTGCAGTCAGCTATTTTTCATATCCCTATTGTTGCACTGGGCGTTCTGTAGCTTTCACTTAGTTAGATGTCTATATTACCAATTTCGAACTCACGGTTGCTACAAGTGTTCTCAAACCACACCTACCTCTCTAGTCTCAAGAGTATTTCGTTCAACCCACTTACATACTAATATAATACTCTCTATATATCAACCTAGCTATATATCTTTTCCCGCATCAATATTTGTTTTTCCAGAGATTGGCAGAAGGATCACGAATTGGCACCTCCCGCGTCCCGAGTCCTGAAGAAAGAGAGTGACATTAGGTGGTCATAATTTCGCGTTTAGATATGACAATAAGCGTTCGTAAAATCAAATAGATCTATATCTCCACCCCACCCAGCCCGGAACGAATCCTTACAAGTCTACTAAAGCAATATACGGGGTATAGTATAGCAGTTAGTTAAAAGAAGGCAAGATGATGGATGGCCCTTAAATCCCCGGGCCCCTCCTCCCTCCTTTCCCAATGCCGCGGACAGACACATATATGCATCTTACAAACGCCTCCTAATCATATTCAACTTCCCAGTCGCCTCCGGAATGTGGTATCATCATCATGATCAGAATCGTCATCACGACCATTGTGATGCAATGTCAACGCCAAAGCAGTCCAAAACGCCCCATCTCGCATACGTTTAAAAAGAACTCCTCAATCCAGGTTTCAGGCAAAGGGAAAAACGACGGGATATCTTCTTTCATTGCAATCAACCGCCCACCCGCGCTGCTTGCCCCCGAATCTTCACCTACACACACAACCAACCCACTTTCCGCAATCGTTGGGTTTATATCAAATACTGCGCGAATATACATGCATGTATATTTTTTTCCCCCTTACTCCCCAAATAGCCTCCTCACCCGGCGTAGAACACTGTCCTTGTCGGGATCGTACGGGTGGTCTTTACTCGGTATCTCTAGGACGGCGGGGAAAGCGTCCGTGAATGAGTCAACGCTGTTTCGAATGCGTTCCGCAATCTGCGTGCATGCCATGGTTTTTTTCTTTAGTATACTGCTAGGACCACTGTGGGAGTAGTTCTAGAGGGGAGTGGGTGCTCCCTCGTTTGTTTTGGGAGGGGAGGGGAGAGGATTGTGTTTAGAGATGGAAGGGGAAGCGATTACATGTTGATTAATTAGTAACACGCCGATATCCTTGCGTTCTTCTGTGAAATTGTGAAAGGCTTTTTCGATGGCGGAGGTTTCTGTCTTTGCGTCGACGACGAGGAAGTTTCGTTGTGAGTCCGGTGGGTCTGTTACGTGCTGTTGTTTGTTTTTGGTGATGGTCAACTTTTAGGGCACAGCTCTGCGGTGAACGGGGAGAGGGGGACCGGAAGGGTTACTGAGATCCTGCAGAGGAGCCTTTGTGTGTTTTTTTGATCTTGGTGTGTGAAAGTCAAATAAAAAGTTCTTTTCATTTACTTACGCCGATTCCTGCTAGTAGAAGGCCGGTGACAGAGCTATGAGACGGTAGAAGAGGGGGAGATGGTTAGATACATTGATCAGGGCGCAAATAGGGGAGGTTTTGCCGGGATTACATTGGGACATACTCTTCATCACCTATGACGGCCAGAAATTGACGGTCCTAGTAGAGATATTGGCGTTAGAATATATTAATTGAGGGATATAGCGGGAGGGGAGGTGAAATGCGGACCTTGTATGTGCTTTGGGGGGCCGCCATGATTTTAGTACTTCGCTCAGGTTGAAGGTGCCTGGGGTGACGAGACAAGAGGCCGCACAAAAATATTTTATGTTGATATCGCGGGTATAATATAGCGCTCTACGCACACATGTAAAAGCCACGTAGATTAGTTATTCAGGAGCTGACTGGCCTCTTGATGTAGAGAGAGAGCAAGTTGCTGATAGAAATCAGGTGGAAGCTCGAGCGTGAGGTTATGCGGCTTATGTAACTAACTAATTCACTCGTTGCACTCAACCAGCAAACCAGAAGGTTCAAATCACAACAAAACAAAACAAAAAACATCCAACCGCCGCTCAACGCCGCCAACGACGACAATGCCAACCTGTTGAGCTGAAGATAACAAGCATTTGTTTGCCTCGTTATCTCCTCTTCCAGGCTCGTTGCTAAGCATCTCGCCCATTATGCCGCCGCTCATCCGGCGCCGACCACTTTCGGAACGGATAAAGTCATACTTGAATCCCCTCGATTTCCTGCTATGGCTATCAGAGGAGCTTGGTTCGAGTGATTGGGAACAATGGGAAAAGGAGTGGGCGATCCCCTTTGGAATTGGGTTAAATGTGGTGTTCCTCATAGCACGTGCGAATAGCTGTACCAACAGCAGCAGGATTGAGGACGACGTCTTTGGAGATGTTGTAGAGACGAGTTTGTTGAGCTGGTTTGTACGTTGATTGATGGACATATCCTCTTGTCGCTAATGAACCATTTTACGGGAGGTCAGCAATCCAGAGACTTGTGGACTAATGTGAGCTGTAATCGCAATTAATAGGCTTCTTTCCTTGTTCACTTGTTAGCCTTCGCATCGATTTTCAACGCGTTCTACACCTTCTGGCGCAAACGCCATTATCGACTGTTCGAAGCACCAATTGACAATGTTCCGGCGACCCCTTCCGCACACCGAGTCCCAGTGAATTCGTCACCCATGGTTTCGTCGCCAATGCGATTTTTCTCTAGTGTGTTGTCCGTCGGGTCGGCGGAAGCAAGGTCACACCCAAACGCGCAACGGGATGTTTGGGAGTTAGGCATGTGGGATCCTCATCCGCTGTCATTGAGGCTATTATGCCTTTTCAGCCCAGGGCATGTCGTTATATACTGGCTCTTCCTCCCCACCTCCGCAATAGATCCGCGACCTAGCGTTACTATTGTAACGACTCTATTTCTTGCAACCCTACTAACAGTTCAAATGTCAATGCTATCATCCTCCTTCTCTCAACAATTGAAAGACTCGATGTTGGTTCATAAAGAAGTTCTCAATGAATACGATACCAAATTTGTCCATCCCCGAACACAGCCTATGATGCGCAGCGTGGCAACCCAACATTCGGAAGAAATGTCATACAACGCCAATTTTGATGAGGCGTATAATACTGTGAACACCTATACTCCAGCAATACGTAGGGGCTTCAAAATTAGCCCCAACCCCAATTACGTCAGTCACATAGACCCGGCAGGCGCTCTGGAAAAATACTGCCAACCCCCTCGATCTTCCACTTCAACTCCCCGTGTATCATCTACTAACGCCGACTTTTCTACCCCTACTTACGGCGTAGATGCATCATCCCCACTCCACTCCCGTAGTTCAGCCATTCGACAGCCTCAGTTTAGATCCGTGTCTTCTACGGCTGATGGTGGGAGCCTGGGGGTATATTCTCACGCGGCATCCCCTCTTAGAAAGGCAACATCGACCCATTTCGACCACAGAAGCGGATATCGTGGCGATGAACTTGACACTAGAGATCGACTTCATAGCCCAGTAAAACTCCCATCGAGCCCGCTAAAGAGGTCAAGCGTCCCTGGCGGAATAGGAAGTCCTGGACCTTCTCAGAAGTGGACCCATCTCACTAACGCAGGCCGCGGGATAAGACGTGACAGCGGACGGTTCTGAGAAGAGGAGTTACCTTATTTTGAAGAAACAAAAATTTCCATTTGGTTTATATATATGTATGCAAAGTGCTGTGTTTTCCGGGGACTTACATTTTCTCGGATTCATTACTTTAGTTATTTATATCGCGAGCGTGTTTCATCTGGATAAGTCGAGTCTTGGTAGCATTTTTGGCGCATTCCGGTGTATATTCCATTGTTTACTTTTTCACCCCGCCCTTTGGCTTTCTCCTTCATATACCCGCGTTAATGTGTCATGCGGTTCAAGTTGAGGTGTACCATTTTGAGCTCCAAACTAAATATGGAGAGACATCTCCCACGAGATAACTCTCTGAGTGGCGATCGCTTTCTCAAAGGGAAGGAACGCCTTTTGCAACACCGCGCCTTCTAATATTGGACTCTGGTCGTCTGCTAATCGCACCTTCCCCGGGAACGGTTCTTCCCGGCGTAAATTGTCAACGCCATCTTCGTTTTATATAGAACCTCAATCAATACCCGCACCAGTGGCTGTATACACATATCCGCTCGTTTATTTATTCCTGGCGTGGGATTCTAGGTTGCAAGCAACCCAATGCCGAAGTATCCTTAAAATAACAATCCAGGCAGTTTAGCATGCCACGATGCCGCGCGTTGTTTCTGGAAACCAATCAAGTTCTATTGCTTCCACTAAGCCAACTCTTCTTAGTCGTCGCGAAGACGGCGTTCGAAGGAAGGACCAGCGATCCTCCTCGTGGTCCGCTTGGATCCCCCCTCCGCTACTTGGACAACCTGATAACAAGTCTTCTCGGGTCAGATCCAGCAGTTTAGGACAACGAGGCAGTCCAGATATTGCACCAACATCCGGACAGAAAGCGCTAGCAGAGAAAAGAGGTGGTTTTCGAAAATGGGGCAAGAGAAAGGACAAAAAGTCTGTCACTTTTGAAGAGGATGTAGCGGTGAACCTTCAGGATTGTGATAGCGCATCCGGAACGGTACGAAGGCAGAAACTGTCCACGGTTGGTTCGGTATCTGGTATCTTTTCTCGAACAACACGAGACGAGGAGCAGAATCGTGCGCCGGATCCAGTCAGTAGACTCGATTTCGCCAACCGTTCCGGCCCTGTTCCAGGAAGTTGGGTCGGACGACATGCTCCTAGTCAAGAAGGGACTCATCATGAAGGGGCGGATCGTGAATACTGGTTGAGTCTTCGACGCCAAATCGAAGAGAGCGCGAAATTGCAGGACGAACTGCATAAACGCCAAGCTACCAAAAGCGGAAAAAAAGAAAGAACCAATCGCAAGCATCAGCGTACGGTGAGTCGCGATGATCAGCTGATTGCCCGTGGTGCCAATCCCCGAACTGGTGTAGTAAGTCCCAGCATCATGAGTGGTGGTAGCGACTCTAGTTTCCGTGACTCCCGGGAGGAGAATGCCACTCTTCAGAAGTGGCGTCTGAAGGGCAACGAGTGGATAAGCTTGGACAAGAACGAAAAGTCTCCATTTCCCTCGCCATCTGGAAATGAAATTGCACAAGCCGAATTCCCTGGTTTGCAGAGAAGCAAGACCGAGTCTGTTGGATTGATCACTTCTGCTCCCCCGACAGAGTTTGCACCAAATTCGATCAACCCGGAAGACAAGTTTGTTGTCAACATGCCCTCCGCAAGAGAGCCATCGCCGCTGACAATGACTGCCCAGCAAATTGTGGACTTCCAGAAGACTCTCGAACGCGTTCATCATGAAGGTGAACAAATGCTGGATCCGGACACCCTTCCAACACCCAGATCCGTTACCCCTACAGGGATTAGCACCCCTCCCAGGCGACTTACGAAAAATTTTAAGGAGAAAATTATAGGACGAAAAAGGGACGCTAAGTCTCCATCACCATCCCTTGCTTTTGTAGAACCTCCGGCCCAGGGCTATGTCATCCACGCCGCTATAACTAGTCCCAACAAGCCTGTTCCTGACATCAAAGTGACGTCCTCTTCTGGCGATCCTGAGTACGTCAAATTATGTAACGAGGAGATGGGTCAGGGGCAGCCCACATCTCATGCACATGCTTGTGGCATGAACGGAGGTCCTTTTTTAGGCCAAAGCGGGGGCCATGGAGAGAAATGCACTCAGATCTCTTGGCCCCGAACAGCGCCCCGTCTCCATTGCCTTTCGCCTCAGTCGATGAACGCCCGCAAATTCCTAACCCAGAAGCAAGCCTTCCAAGCAAACCTGATAAGCCGCACAGCATGCGAGGAAGAATTGGCAGAGAGAAGTCAAGTATATTACCCTCTGACAATGGCGCAAATTTTACACGATCACAATCTCAGTGGGCTCCTCAGAAAAAGTCCAGGAGGCTCTATGAAAGGAGGGTCCGTGGCCGTCGATCCAGTTCTGGATTGCAGCCAGCTACACAAATTGCCAGAACAGGAAAATCTATCCACTATCATTACCACTACGACACCCACGTCCACAAGCACTACATCTATGACTCTCCCACTAGCAATGGATCAACGCCCATTAAACCACGATATCAATCCCGACACCGATTTCAACGCCAATTCAAGCACCATTCCCGGAAAGACAGGCCTTTGTCACTATGGAACATGTTGCAATCATCAGCAATGCCCCTGCTTGTCCGAAACTTCGGGCAACAGCGTTCTTGCCATCGAGGGACGAGCAGAGCAAAATATCAATCGCGGCATCAGAGAAATCCCACTAAATCTCAGCCGAAATATGCATGGGAGCACCCATATATCAGGACTAAACGACCCTAGTAATTTACCCTTCACTGAATATTGTGCCCCTTATATACAGAACGGATATTTCAACCCCGCTAAGAAAATTCACAGCGCCCAGAGGTCTCTGGTTAGCACTGGCTTGGGTCCTTCGCCCATGTATGTGAACATGGTTCCGGTCATGAATAAGGGCGCCGTATTCCAAGAGGATGCTGTGAAGAGGGTAGTACGATCAGACTCTGGAAGTGTAAATTCCCTAATGAGTGGACACTTTCGACCCAACACCCAAAGTGACAATGGCCGAGATATCGAGGATCGAAAAAAAGATAATTTACTCAACAATCAAAATAATTCCACACCTGCTGTCCAATTCCTCCATTATATTGTTCGTGAGCGCCATACTTTCAATTTCCTGCGCCTGATAGCCGTCCAGTTCCTCGCCATGGCTCTGCACTGTCTCAGAGTCACCTTTAGCATTTGCGATTTCTGTCACAAGTTCTCGAAAACGGGTGTTCTTCCACGCGCACCTCGGAGCTTCCACGATCTCGGGATCTTGATTTTAGACACTGGGCGAGCATGCATTTACTTTGCTGTATTGGTTGTTGCATGCACCTTTTTGGCAAGAGGGTTGGGCTTTCTGGCTACGGTCGCTTCATGGCTAGTTTGGGCCCTAAAACTTTTGACTTTGGCGTAAATCAAAAGTAAAATTTTGTATCAATGAGATGGGGGAGTCAGTCATGGGATATTTGCCTCTGTTTTGCTGAACATTAGTTACTATTCCGTTATATCTTTCCGCTAGAGCCACCCCCCCCCCCCCCCCCCCCCCCCCCAGGTCCCTGAGATGGACAAGGGGTCCCGGACGGATATCACGACGCGCCTTTGTGATTATTTTTATCGAGATTGGTCTACCTAACTAACGACCTGATAGGAACGTAGAATTCCATTGTATTATCTCTCTCTTGAGAATAGTCATAGTCATTTTCTCCCACCTAGTAGCTTGGTAGTCAACAGTGTGCATTTGTTCGAAAGACACGATAGCCCGATAGAAACGCATAGGATTCAGTTCATGTCGATACATTCGTAGACACGAAGACTCCTCGCGCAGTAGAAATTGCAACTTTTACATATGTATTTATTTACCTTGGACTGCTTGTCTGATTTTGATAGAATGCTGCATGCTCTATCTCATCAACCCACTTCCGTCTTCTTCTTTCTCCTTGAAAGCACAATAATGACCTTCTCCCTTCTCTCCCTCGACTAAAATGAAACGTTTAGGCTAGTTGGCACTTTTATATTCAAATCGACCTCCGTAAACAGGGAAAAACAGAGAGTCAGAATTTGTGAACGTCACAAAAGGGAGGGGGATGGTCTAAGAGGCGGGCCCAAAACTTCATTCGACAGAAATTTGAGCCGAACCTAGTAAAAGGGGAAAACCGGGAATGTGTGATAATAAATATGACAAATGAAGGAAATAGAAAAAAGTGAAAAAAAAAGAAAAAAAGTGAAAAGAGAGAAAAAAGATGAGAAAAGACTGGCCCGCATTCGGAATTTGTTTTTTTTTTCTTTTTTCGTTTTTTATTTTTTTTAAAAAGATATTATTTTCTTTTTCTTATCTAATTTCCCAAATGTGTTGAATACATATTTCCAGGCAAATACAGTAGATTAAGTAATTTTTTACCTGATCGTTGTAATTTGCCATACAGCTTCGTTGCGGTCATCATAGTCATTTTTTTCATTTTTCTTTTTGTTTGTGTATCCCATGTCCATTCATCCCTTGGTTTTCGTCCTGCTTTTCTGGGTATTGTTGAAAATAAAAGAGTAAAGAAAAGAAAGAAAAGAAATTAAGGAAAAGAAATTAAGGAAAAGAAATAAAGAATCATGAAGGAAACAAGGTTCTCCAGTGTTAAAATGCTGTGATTTGCATGCTTGGTTTTTATCTCTATATGGTGTTGAATGTCATGTTGAAAATAGTGGTCATGTATTGCGCTCGTATATGTATGAGAATGGCGGCGGAGGTTGAAGTACGTGCGGGGAGTAGGAGCCGCGCGAGAAGTGCGCGCTTATGTTGAATTATTCTTAAGGAGAAATTGGAAGAGAGATATGTTGATCGAGAATTATTTATGGAATGGCGCTTAGGTATAGAGGGTTATGGGAAAATCGTGAGATCATGTAGTGCGCTTGTTGAATCGCGAGTCCATGATGGGGTGCTGCCGATATCATTCGGCATTGAAGAGATGGATAGGTGGGAAATAACGGAAGATTAGTTGGAGTTACGCTCTTCCATCGACTTGGTTGCTTCCGTACAACTGTCGTTGACCTCTGTTTGAGGAAGCTGGCCATTTTGTTGGGCAATATCAACAGACTCGGCCGCTAGGGCGATGGGTTCTATTTCCGTATCCAAGTTTTCGACTTTGAGGTCCTTGAACAGGTTGAAGATGTCATGCGTTTTGTGGAAATCGTTGTTCACTTAGCCAACAGGTATTAGTAAAATTATGTTCCGAACCTTCAACGAGTATTTATTTAGAATGCCTTACCAATATTGACCAAATACCAAGTGTCCATCACTTGTTCAATGAGGCGTCTGCTGAGGCTCGATGGGGCGTGGCACTTGGCCCAGTCGTCTCCGAGTCGATACGCTTCATCCTTCCAGGCCAAGAAGCTGATTGTTTCAACAATGGTTGGTTGGATAATCTCTTTGGAAGCGAATATTCCCCACGTAACTGCATTTGGACTGTCGGTCGTGTTCGTCTTCAATTCACCCTTTTTATTGACACAGTAATATGTGAGGTCAGAATTTTGTTCAATGCGGCTAATAACATCATCGATCATTGTGGGAGAAATAAGGAGTTCCAAGTATGCCTTCTGATAGACATATCCGTTTTTCGGACCCCATCCATAGATTGGGTGAGAAGAGGGCATGCCATCAATCGCAGGTTGGGAGTTAATAGTCAGGAAACCCTTTCGATTCAGGTCGAGCAAATCTGATTTGATGATTTCTGTTTCCTCTGTAACAGCGCCCTCGCTCCATGGAAGTCTATCAAGGCTTCCATTCAAGAAACGTATGAAAATCTCAGATAGCTCCTTTAGTGACTTTGGCTCTCCCCAAAGTTTGATATTTTGCTCGTTGGTTCCTTTCAAGCCAATGCCATAAGTATCGAGCTCTCCAAAAGCAGGGGACCGAGAGTCAGTCCAGCGACCATTTGGATATTCATCCCATGTCTGCGTACGAGCCACGTATGATTGATGTCGGTGCCTCCAAAAGATTGGTCGCACATCTTCTTCCCTTCGGCCAAGTCCAAGTGACTGTCGCCACGGAAGTGGCTTCTGCAGGGGAGTTTTATGGGAGGGTATCAATCCTAGTTCGTCCAGAATCATTTTGGTCGCTTGTTGCAAATTCATCGTGTAGCTATGGGCTTGAGGTTAATATGTGAGTGACCATATTATGATTAAGATTAGGAAAACAGAAAAACTTACAAATGCAGGTGATAGATTCCAGAGGCGAGTATTTTCTTGCACATATCAGCCACAAGAGATTTGCCCAAATTCCTCACGGCTGCATCGTCATTCTTCACAGGTTCCAATGCTTCCAACCAGTCGGGAGGGATTCGAATTTTAGTCCAGTTGGATCTTCTAATAAACGCAGCGTACGTGTGAATGGGCATTATACCGGGTATAATTGGTACCGTGATCCCCTTTTGGCGACATTTTTCGACCCAGGTCAAGAAGTTATCGACATCGTAGAACATCTGCGTAATAATAAACGTACCTCCCGCATCAACCTTTTCTTTCAGATGTTCCATAAGGAGTTCTGGGTCATCTTGATCATCGCAGCCTTCGGGATACCCAGCAACTCCAATATCAAAATGGTTCCCATATTTATCACGAATATATTTGACCAAATCTTTAGCGTAACGGAACCCGCCCTCCGTAGCTTCCCATTTCTCTTTTTCTCGGGGAGGATCACCACGCAAAGCCAAAATGTTCGTGCACCCTGCCTTGAACGCACTCTGAAGAGCAGTGTCCACTTTCTCGCGGGGCATGTCCGTGCAAGTGAGGTGCATACAAGTTTCCAGGCCATAGACCGATTGCGCCACATTCACCATCTCACAAGTCAACTCTGACAGCCGCCCTCCCGCACCCCATGTGATATCAATAAAGGATGGTCCATATCCATGCATACGGTCCATCCGATCGTAAAGATTCTGAACACCTTGCGCCGTTTTCGGGGGGAAAAATTCGAAGGAAATGCCGGGCCGCCCTGTGGCCTCCGCATGAGCCAACTTGTCCTTAATATGCATATTGATGTTGTCCTAGAGCTGAGAAACTAACGGGTAAGCATTGCACGCGGAAATCGCTATGAGGAAGAGGCATGTTCGCGCAAATGGTCTGAACCGCTCGCTAGGGAGATAGGTAGGACATTTAAACCGGAGAAGAAGTAGGAGACTCTTCTCTTTCCTCAACCATAACTGTGGATAGGAGATATACTAACCTGTGAAGCCCTCACAAAATAAAATTAAACACAGTATCTTCAAACCAAATTTCTGCAAGATTGATAAACCCGCAACCAAAAGAAACACAAACCCACTGCCCAGCGCTATCTTATTCTTCCACCTCTCTCCTTTATCTTCTATTCCAACCCTAACACTTCAACCAAGGTATCGTTTCCGAGCCCACCGGTCCGCTAGCTCCCGCAACATGTACGGCTGATTAGAACTAGAACTATCTGTTACGTTGGCGGAACAGCGTTCGTTAACAAGATATCTTGCAATGAAAAATCCAATAGAACAATAGGCTGGACAGAGAAGGAATTGGGGGAAACGGAAGGAAGAAGTGCAATGTTGATGTGGCTGTGGCTTGCAATTGATAGATACCAAGGCGGGATCGGAATAATGAAAATAAGAAATTGACTAAGAGGTAGGCTGGACCCGTGGATGCTCACCTGTTTTATTTCCCTCCTTGATTATGATTAAGGCGATATAGGGCGACACCCTCGAAGAGCTTGTTAAACGCCGACAAAAGGTTGTGCAACAAGGGGGTAGAGCAGAAAGAATCGACGATGTTTGGCGAGATGAGATGGTAAGGCGTGGGATGTGGAAGTAGCCGAAACTAGGACGTCGGATTAGAGTTTTGGCCTAGTCCGTTTCTGGATGGTGCAGTGGGGGGCTCCTATGTAAGCTTGGCCGGCGTCTTGTTTATTTGTTTTGTTTGCATATTTATGTGTTTCAAACGAAGAATAATATGTATTGTCTGGTGGTTCCAACAAGGTTGCGTCCCAAGCTCCCCTATATTTATAGATCAATTCCCAGGATGTGGACCCAAATTACCCTTGGTCACCCCTTAGATGACTGTCGCCAGAAAGAGGAAAAGTCAACCAATTGAGAGCTGTCATCATTTGGTAATGGTCCTGGCCATCTGAGAAGCAAGTTAGGCCTTGAAAATTAGCTGAAACACATGTGAAGTCTAATCTTGAAGACATTCAACATATTAGCTTCGTCTATCTTCTCATATATGGAAAGCAGAACATTCCCTCAAAATAATAAGACACAGGACATCACTTCTTTTAGCTTTTCCATAAAAAAGATTGAAAAATCTTGTTAAATTAATCATTATTTTTATCCCCATTCATTGCTTTTCAGAGGTACTGTACCTTGAATAGAAGGTTTACTGTCTCTGATCTGAGTAGAATATGTTTTAGTGATAGCAGAAGGGACTATAGGCGGGCAGGCACACAGGGAATAACAGACCTTTTTCAAGCACAAGCTACAATTAAAATCAGAAGTGAGGGAATATATGCTAACCACTATCCCATTTCTGTTTAGAATGAGGCATGTGAAAGTCCAAGTTGAAACGTTTCATCATACATTATTTATGTAGCGTGGGCGGCCAGGGTAAATGACAGACAAATGCATCTAGTTCTCCGCCCTTCGTAAATAGGAGGGAGCAATAGATACAAGATAGAAGTAGTGGGATTGGTTAATACAGGTTTAGAAATTCTGTCACACGAAAGTGTGAAAAAGAGGATGAAAAATCAGGAGTGAGCAATAAAGACGGCAACAGATCACTTCACCTAGAAAAAATGGGTGACATGAAGCACAAGAACAGTGGGAATGACAAGCCAAACGGAGACTTAATAGCCGAAGAAAATCGGCAACACCTTAGGAAATATCATAGTGTCAAGTGGATCTTGTTAAAACGGTGGTAGAGAAATCTCAGGGAGTTTAAAAATCAGTTCTCAAGGTCATGGCACTATCCACTGCAACTCCTATCGAAAACAGGTCAGAAAATCCAACCTAGTCCTGTTCCAAGGTGTATTCCGTACGCTCTGTCTCTTAACAGCAGCCTTCAGTGTACTCGGCATCGTAGTCGTGGAGAGCAATGCCCGCTAGGAGGCGCAGATCAAGGTGATCGATTTCGTAATCTAGGAATTGAAGCAAGTGACGAACAGGATGTCAGTAGATCATCAGTAACCTTTGATTTGTAAGAGTAAAGATAGTCAAAGAATACAATACCCTGACGTTGTGAGAGAGACATATACAATTGGGTGGGAATGGACTTACCAGGTAAATCCCTGTCACGTTTTGATTCTAGCGCTAGGGCGTTGGATTCAGCTTCCATAAAACGCTGTTTCAAGTCATCGAGTTTTCCCAGCACGTTTCCGATAACTTGGACGCCGTAGTAAACTGGATGGTTCCACATCCGAAGCAGGCGTTGCACGACCGCGAAATTGTCCTGACAGTGCATCGAATTAAACCAGGCCTGATGTTGTAGGAGATTCACGGAAATTTTCATTCTGTCGCCGTTGCGACGGGAGGCATATTCGCGATACCAGCCCACAAACATGCGGCTATCATATGTGATGATAGCTCCAGACAGGCGAGCACCCTCTTTCTCAAACGACAGAAGATCTACCTCGCGATTAGCGTATGAGTAAAAAAGGATAAAACCAAAGCTGTGAAAATTGGGAAACGGTTATTTTCAAACAAAACATTAATAACACACAAACCTTGTGGACAGCCATAAGTCAGGAGACGGATCGGAATGGCATGGTCCTCACGCCTTACTTGGGATACGAGACTTAGCTTTCGTTGGTAAGAGGCCCTGTCCCAGTTTCGTTTGTCCTTCTCGGTCCATTCGTAGGCGGTAAAGTAGACTTCAGGAATGCAGAATGGCATGAACGGTACAGAAGCAAGAATATAAGTGCATATACCCATCCCAAGTGCGCGTCCTACTTCGTTTAGAGCCAGGGCAAACTTAGCTGGCGCGGGGAGATAAGGCTCTCCATGTTCAGGGCGATTCCATGGCGGGAAAAAACGTCCGTTCTCATCAACACCCTGGCTGAGAGCAGCTTCCTCAGGTAGACCTGTCGGTTTTATGGCTTCAATTTGGTCAGCCATCATAATTGTTGACTTGCTTGTGATATAAGATGTCAGGATGTGCAAATATTGTGAAAAGGGCAGCTTTTTCTTTGAATAGTTCAGGGATGCATGTATAACACAGAAACAAAAATGAACAATAACTGAAGAAGAAGCAAACAAGTGAAGAGAAGAATAGCGGCTACTGTGTTCATGATGTGAGTCAAAAGACATTGGATTAGTCGGCACTGTAACATCACAACATTGAATATCAGTGTCTGGGTTTGTCAGAAAGCCATCTCAATCAAACCCTGCATGAAGACTTACATTTAAGACACCACAGCATATAAAGGGCATTACTATGGTCTATCCACTTGTCCATGGATGTATCAAGCCTGGAATGAGCCTCCCTCTTCCTCTCCTATAATCAGCCCTTTGCTAGTAATTGTGGTTTGCATTGAACCCGGGCTGGTAATGCCTCTTGAACATGTACGTAAAGGTTGTTTTGAGAGGTATAGTCGCTTTTCAAAAATCCACATTTAGAATAGGATAGAGGGAATTAGGGAGATTTCAGTAGCCATAATAAAGGGAGTAAGAAATACCAGGCTTAGGTAGGGAACTACCTGGGGATCAACCTTCTTGCGAGTATCTTGACAATGCCCGTAAAGAGATATATCCCTCGGAATGTAAACCCCCAAGGCTAATAACCGGCAGATTCCGGTGTCGAATGGCGGAGAGGGATGTCCTGAGGAGAACACTAGGGTATTCGGCTCTGCAACGACCACTGGGGGCCAATGCCTCCTTTTAGAGGAAGACACCCATATCTGGAAAGAGAAAAACAGGAAACAAAGAAAGAAAAAAAGATATCAGAGGATCGTATCGCTCCACTTAGGTATTGATAAGAAATCAATGTAAATAAGCTGAGACGAAATTAGCGGTTTAAAAATGATCAGGTCTTGTCTTCTGTCTCCAGAATTCATTAAGTGAAACAAAGGGACATACTGGGCGACGGTTCTGTTGTGTTTAAAATATTACCTGCACGCGATCCGCAAAGATAGATGAACAAGTGCGTGATTTATATTAGCATCGATGTACCTCTCAATAGGCATAATCAAAAACACGCACTTCGAACACGAGATTCGAAAGAAATGGAGAGCTTCGGAATAAATAACAACACAGCTGACGCTCCGAAATCAAATCCAATCAGTTCAGTTCAATAATAAACCTCCCGCCAATGATGTATTATCCACAGCTTGAAACCTGCTTCCATTGTATATATTGCATGAGGTTTATTTTATACTTTCCATGAAATATCCAAAATACCCTTTCCATAAAGAGCGGAGATCAGGAGATGGCCTCGTTTCGAGTCCATGGCCCCTGTAGTGCTACTTGGAAAATGCTCTCCATTACCTATCCAATGTGAAAGATAATTAGCGCTGAAGGAAACTTGTGATAATCAAAAATCTCAACAGGAAACTCACTTTGATACAAAGTTCTTGTGTAAAACTTTGGCTGTGGCGGCGCTGCTGGACATGGAGCTGGGTCAAGTCCCGTACCCCGTCGTACCTCAGCAACCCATGATGGCGCATTAAGCTTCTCAGGGCTATTGATCATTCGCATCAGTTTAATTAAGGATGGATGACCGCCGACTGTCACCCCACGAAGGAATCTCCCCTCCGTGTCGAACACGGTGGGGTCAGAAATGTCCAAGGAGTGGTCGAAATTGACATTATCAGGATGGAAACTCAGGGGAATGGTTTCACGGCTGCTAGATAACAAATTGGATTGGGGGTCTCGTTCATAAACGTAAACTGCATCGCTCCCTGAAGAAGCCACGATGACCTCTTTCCCAGTTGGCGTTACGATGATCCCGTTCGTAAACGCGATGTTACTGGCTACGATTACGCACTTGAGATCTTCAGGTGAGGAAAAGTCCACAAAGGCAACCCAGCTCCATGGCATCGAGAAGGATGTTTCGATTTTGTTCCAGAAAGGTCTGGTTCTCGCCATATAGCGATGGTCGTTCGTGACGTAGAATTGTGTGTAGGAGACAGGTGCGATAGAATTTGGCGATAGGATAGCCTGGTCGTTATCAGATATTGTTGTAACATACTTCGCTTGAGATAAGTCATAGTCGACGTCGAATACCGCCACGGTACTCCCAGTTCGCTGATGATTGGCAACAAACAGCCTTGTCTTGGATTTTGGGGAGCTGCGGAAGAAGTTAATCCCAAGAGGGTGGAAATCGATATTATCAGGAAAGCCTGTAAGTTCTAGTTCCTTGATGGTGCCTGCTGCCGCATAGTCGTAGACATATAGGCTCCCCCTCGGGTCCGGGTTCTTGAAGATTCCCTGCGCGAGTATTTTAGATGTCGAGCTTTGGAATAGCACGGTAAATGCCACTCTTTTCATCTCTGGGTAATATTCACCATGACAGTATTCCATTCTGATCTAGAGGGGTCAAAGCTTATTATCGCGAGGCCATGATCATGGTCGATGACGATATCCTCCGAGTATTTGATGGTATCCGCGAAGCGGATGTCAGCGGACCCCCCCTCAAACGGATGCCATGCTCGCGGCAGATTGTGGACAGTATCTATCTTAGTTACGAGGGGTCTATAGAATACCGTGGACAGCGTCCCTATAAAAATTGTCAAGGCGGCAGCCGTCTGATATGCAGTTAGTATATATAGGTGGGTTTAGCTTCCGCAACGAGTACGGACCTTGCCAATTGTAGAGAGCGCCATGATATGTTGTTCTATGTGATGCCTAGGAGATTAAGTCAAACTCGCCGAAAAAAACAATGTCAATTGATGAAAAAAAAAAAAAAAAAAGAAAAAAAAAAAAAAAAGAAAAAGTTCCAGAATCCACATGGAAGGAAACATTTTAAGCTGAAAATTTAGTTAACTTAGGCCTTCCGGAGACTAGATTTCAGCCGTTATTTGCAAGGCTGGCTAAGAATTTTCCCAGCCCAGAATTACACGTGCCTTCGCTAGCCCCACTAATGTAATCAACCACCTAACGCTCGTTTCCACCTAACGCTCACCTTTGTAAATCAATTACAATCAACTTTAAATGTTAATATCTTAATAAATATTCATTATTTTAATTTTTTAATTTGTAATCTATAAATATCAAGACTTATAGTATAATATAATTCAAAATTATTATAATATAGTTAAAATTGATTAAAATATAGATTCAATTAGAAAATAAAATACAGTAAAATAAAATATATAATATTTTATTATAAATTAAGAAATATGTATTATATATTATTGAAAATAATAATTCTTATATAATATATAATAATTTAATAAATATTAAATTATTTTATATAAGAATTCTATATTTTAATTTTTAAGAATTTTTTTATTTTTTTATTATAATTTTTTTTATAAATTACAAGTAAAATATTGAAAATTCTTGAAATTTTAAATTTTAAAAAATAATTTATTAAATATAAATATATTTAAATGATTTAATATAATAATTTATTTAAATTACAATTTTAAAGTATAAATAATACATAGTTATTACACAAATAGTATTTTAAAATGTAAAATTTTACATAAAAATTTAAATAAATTAATAATAAATAAGAACTTCAAGAAAAATTTTTATATTTTATTAAAAATATATATAATCTATAAGATATTTAATTTTTATATGAAAATAATTTATATTTATAAGTATATTTATAAATATACACTGTGTATTTTATTTTAAAATAGTATTTTAAAAAGCTTAATAAATTAATAATTATATGTTATTTTCTTATAAAAATTTAATATAATATAATATATATCTACAAATTATTATTCTGTTTTTTAGAATAGCTTTAAATAAATATTCATTGAGATATAAATATTTGAAGTTAATTGTAATTGATTTACAAAGGCGAGTGTTAGGTGAAAATAAGTATTAGATGATTGATTATATTACTTCTACAGTTAGTATACCTTATTACAATGTAATTATCATCACAATATAATTTTTTATTAAGAATGTAACTTTAATATCTTGATATATTAGAATCACTCTCTTTATCTATATAAAAAAAAATGTTACCTGCAACTCTGTCATCTAATATTCATTAATTCAATATTTATAATTTTTTTAATTTATATTATAAATTGCTTGAATCTCTGCAGCTTGACAAGTCTGTTTTATACAGTGTTAATAATTAACTCATTTTCAATTCTTTTAAATATTAGTCACTGTTCAAATTTCAATCTATTTATTTTGTAAGAGGTCTACGCTGAATAGATCAGTATAATATATAGATCTTATATAACAAATAGAAAAACATTAAAGAAGAAGAAGAAAGAGAAAGTATAAGAATCAGTGATCAAAGTAAATATTTATACATGTATGTAATAATAGATATAATGAAGCTTCAGAGCAGAAGAATCTATATGCATTTATAGCAGCTGAGAATTAATGATTGAGAATAACTGAGAATTGAAGTATATGCATTCAAGAATGAAGCAGTTGAAATCTGTGAAGTGTAATGAAATAGTCTATATAATTAATCAGACATAGTCTGTCATATTAACTCTCTTCTTTCAGAAGCAGTTCTCATCAGTCAAGAACTGCTGTTTCAGATAATTGTAAGAAATCCTGCTTCTCGCGGATTCTTTACCTCTATTCCCATCTCTCATATAATCAATAGGGCTAGCGGCCCTTGGCTACACACAACTATATAGACTGAAGTTCACAAATACTATTCATAACTCAGCTTGAATACTATTATATATTTGATCTCTACATTTTATCTTTCTATCATGAATACTTCTAGTAGTTAACAGTATATATCATATCAAGCTGCAAACACCTGAATAATCACCTGTGAGCACTTATTCTTATATTTCAAGCTCAGTCAGTCAGCAACTGCTTATTATAACTGAAAGAACTAGAAACTTATATACTTCAATCTCTGCAAATTCTACTGTAGACACTCAGAAGCAGTTATCTGAATTATGAATAACTTTTATAAAAGAAGTTTCAGAGAACTTATTAATTACTTATAGAATATTATTCTCTGTATCTGTAACAGAGAAACTCTTCAAACTTATAAATAAATCAATCTCAGTGAAGAATATTTTTGAGTGTCTTCTATGAAATCAAGCTATTTTTCTATAAGAAATGCTTACTATCTATAAACACTCTCAAACTGAGTCTCTAGACATAATCTTCAGAGATATCTATAAATTAAAAAGAAACTTTCTTAAACTGTGATCACTTAAGATTACTTATTAAATCACAATTTATAAAAGCTTTTGCAAGTTTGTATTTAAAATTGACTCACAAGTCTAACTGTGTAATATGAAAGATGAAGAAGCTGTTATTTATATAATAACAGATCTCTATTACACTGAAGTCAAGAACTGACTGAATTATTTAGAGAATAATTATAAGAGATTTCACTGATCTGTTCTTAAGATCTATTTAGAGAATAAGTTAAGAGACTTCACAAGCTGAACAGAGAATATCTGAGTTATAATCATTAATATTAGAAAAAGAGATGAGAAATCTGATAAAGACTACTCACAGTACTTCATGAAATTATGATATAAATTAAGATCTGTGAAAACAGAGCTCTGAAATAAGATCTGAATAATAATATTTATAAAGAAGTTGAATAAAAATATATAGAATAAACTCATTGAGTAAAACTCTAAGCTCTTAACTCTGAAGAAACTGATAACTCTTATTTATCACTTACAGATCACTATAAGAGTCATAGACTTATAGAGAGCAGATCACTAATCAGCTCTGTAAGAGTCAGAATAACAGAGAACAGATTTATCAGAAAAAGATGATAAGATATAGAGAGATTTATATCTGACTACTGAGTAAAAAGAGAGAGCTTCACAAGCTCTTATAAACAGAGTATATAATAGAGAGATTAAGAAAAAGAAACTCTGCTTTATCTGTTCTAAATCAGAACATCTTCACACAAACTATCTGAATAAATTAAAATAGAAATTTGAGAAGTTACAGACAGAGTCAGTAACAGTCTTCTTAAGAGTTTTAAAGCTGATATCTGAATCTATTACTTCTCTGATGAAAATACTTGCTTATGAGAAGAGATCACACTGCAGTACTACTGTCTCATAAGTATGAAAAGTATTAATAAACTCAGAATCTCAGATCACTGTAATGTCTCTAAAGCTTATGAAGTGAATAAGCTGAAAGATGAAAACTGAGAATCTGCTCTTATAATAAGCAGAGTGTAAGAACTCAGATCTGAGAGCTGAGAGACTTGTAAGAGTCATTTTTAAATTATAAGATCTCTCTGAAATCTAAAGAAGATTTACAGAAACTGTGATCATTACAGATATCACAGATAATATATACTTAAGACTTGCATGACTTCAAAGACATAATCTGCACATAGCTGTTCATAAGTCAGGTTTATACTTTTAATCAGTGTTAGCAGACTTACTTACAGAGATAGAATCAGTTAATACTGCAGAGATAATTAGAGAAGACAAGCTTATCTATATAATAACTTTGCAAGTGTCTGAGAATCTCATGATTATAAAAACTGAGCTTCAGATATCAGAGAAATACTGAGATCTCATAGAGATATTCAGCTCAGTAAAGACAGCTGAGCTTTCTTCTTATTATAAGAAGAATCTGATAATAGATTTAGTAGAAGAGTAGAAACTCTTCTGAGAATTAATCTATAAGCTCTCTTATTACAAGACAGAGGTCTTGTGAGTCTATATAAAGAAGAATCTGAAGAATGACTTTATCTGATCTTCACAGATCTCTGCAGAAGCCTCTGTGATATTCATAAAGAAGAAGAATAAAGATCTTAGATTGTATATAGACTATTATAATCTGAACTTCAAAATAATAAAGAGTTACTATTCTCTATCTCTGATTAAGAATGTAATCAACTGTCTTATAAAAGCTGTCATATTCACACAACTGAATGTGATTAGTATATATACACAGCTATGAATACAGTCTAAGAATGAATAAAAGACTGTCTTTAGAACTGCACTGAGATTATTTGAATATTTAGTGATATCTTTCAATCTGACTAATACTTTCATAACATTTCAGTCTTTCATTAATAAAACACTTTGTGTATATCTGAATGTCTTTGTAATAATATATCTGAATAATGTAATAATGTACTCTGTGAAGAAGAAAGAATACACTGAGTATATATAAAGTATATTGAAGACTCTAGATGAGACAGAACTGTATATTAAGCTTATAAAGTATAACTTCAGTACTCACTGAATTAATTTTCTAGAATATGTAATCACTGTAGATAGTATTCAGATAAAATCTTTACAGATTAAGACTATTTTATTATAACTGAAGTTAACTAGTATTTATAAGATTCAGATCTTTCTAAGCTTTGTGAATTTCTATAGATGATTTATCTTTGCATTTATAAGAATCTTCTTGACTCTTACAGACATACTGAAAAGTGAAAATAAGAAGAAGTTATTCTGTGAATAAAGAATGAAAAGATTGTTGAGAAGAAAGAACTGTAAGAACTTTCTTATTTTAGAAACTTACAGAGTCTTTATAAGATTGAAACAGATATTTATAGATATAGTAATACTGTTTCACTTTGATCTCTTACTCTTAAATTCTTAATCAGATTGAAGACAGATATCTTCTTCTTTATAATTTCAGAAATAGTCTTATAACTACAGTTAAATGAGAACTGAGTTTCAGTAGTCTTTTTCTCATAGAAGATGCAATCTATGAAGAT